CTAATTATAACACTAATTGGGCAAAAAAGATTGATTGGTTGCACCACGTCTTTGGAATCTTACTCCAGTTGTTCTGACTGCTCCTCAAGCAGACTGGGGCTCATTTTCTGGCACTGATTTGTCCTAGAGCAATGCAGAGATATTTCTCAGCTCTGAATGCCAGAGAGAACCTAAGGGTCAGACAAAGGACAAAGCCCAAACATGAAAACAGCAAAAACTGGACTATAAACAAAAACAGTTTAACTGCAGCACATGTCCTAAGGCCAAAAGAGAACAGAGTTGGTTCAGACCAGCACAAAGAGAGGACCTGAATTACAACTAGAAGGAAGGAGTTTTCATATTCTCAGATGTTGAAGCAGACCACTTTGGCAAGCTGAATAAAGGAATGCTTGAATTGAGTCACTTTGGGCACACCTGGCCTGGTGTGTTGGGGAAAGAAAGAATTAATTAAAAATAGGGAACTGCAAAGCTTCTGTGTTATTTGTCTGGCAATGTAAGTGCAAAAATGTAAAAATCTGCGTTGTCTGGGTACTTTTGCCAGGCTTATATTGTATCTTTTGAATGCAACAGCAGTTGAAACATCTGGATGAGCAATAGATTTTAAATGACTGGTTTCAAAACTGCATAATGGATCTTGGCAATCAGTGAAGTTAAAATAGCCACTGTAAGGGCCAGTTCTGCTAGTTACAGCACAGATTTATTTCTCAAGACAAAGGCCATGGTTCTTCCTATAAACCTAACTTTAGCACAGTTGTAGATCAGAAAATTATACTTTAATCCAGGAAACTCCTTTCAGTATTCCTTCTTGCTTTAGCAGGAAAAACGGATTGAAAAAAAGTAGGTGACACTGATTACTGTGGATGTTATTAGGCATGCTAATTTAATGACTTAAATTTGTATGATTATTGCTGTCAGGATAGCTTGCTCGCTCTCTCTCCATCTTGCAATTTTGGGGTTTTTTAGATGTACTGACAAGAATGCTGAACAGAGTTGCAGATACCATCTCTACATCAACAGACTTGTATCCAAAATGCATACTGATTTAATGGCTTAAAATATGTCACAGCAGCTATGAGACTATGAAAACAGGGATGAAATTAGCTGATGAGATTATAGAAAATCAGAAAAAAGCAGTTACGTCAGTTTTCAGAAAAATGCAGATGTGCAACCAATTCTATGTTGTTTGGTGGAACTGGATAAACAGCAGACTAGTACTCAGGTTAGCACCTGCACTGCCTTGCTTTCTGCTCTGAAAAATAATTTAACAAAAAAAAAGTGATTAATTTGTCCTGTGCCGGTAAGAATTGCTTATATTGTTTTGATTTTAAACTTGACTGTACTGTTAAATTCCTAGATAGTTTTCCTGGGTCCATGACAGTATTTTTTTTTACTATAGAAGAAAACAGCTGTAGATGCTATGTCACAAGTGTATTTAGGTATACTGTAGTCGTCAAACAGATGAGTCAGGATGATTACCCAAATTGGCTCTTTACAGATTATCACAAATTAGCTTTCAGCTGTTCTGTTATAAAACTATCTCCTTTTTCACTCACCATCCAGGAGCTAGTTGAAAAATCTGGTTTCTTTACAATGGCAAGCAACCACAGCCCTGAAAACAATTTAGCCAATTAAGCTATCTTCAGTTTTCAAAGAGGAACAAAGAGCCCTAGACTCAGATTTTAATTAATAAAAGGCTTTTCAGATTAGCCATATTATAGCTTTGTTAATAATACAGAAACCCACTGTCTTATATTAAGGACAAACAAAATATAACAGTTCTGTAGGGAGGGTTATAAACTGGCTATGTTATGTCCTACTTAGGAGCACCTATACATGAGCAGGGAGACTGCTCCAACGCTGTAATTACAGCGGGGCAGAACAGGCTCAAGAGTCTGCTAGAGCGTGGCAATTACCACGCTCCAGCAGCCTCCAGTGTCTTGTGTATCAGCATCCCTGCACTTCAAAATGGCGATGGGGATAGTTTATCCAAAGCTCGTTCAACTCCCGCCGCCATTTTGAAACGCGGGGACACTGATACACAAGATGCACCAGGAGCTCTCCGAGAGCCGCTCTAATTAAAGCACCCCCACTCTCCGAACACATGTATAAACACCCTAGATGGCTAGCTGTCCTCTAGTACAACAGCATATGTAATCAAGCTAGATCAGCATCTCAACCTGAGAGTCACAACCCAAAAGTGGGTTGCAAAAATATATGCGGTTGCAAACATTTTAAGAACGGATCATATTTTGCATACATAAAAAAAAAAATAGATGGTGCTTGTGCTTTACCGTGTTAACAGTGTGCATACTAATAAAGTTATTTGACTGTGCACATGCCACCAATTAGTCAGTCAAATGTACCATTACAGTAGTAATATAAAGGCACTTAGAGTTATGGGAAAAGAGTGTTTGCATTAATCACAAAGTAAGTCTTTAATTTAGTTGGTGAAATGGACAAATGTTTAAACTGTCCTGTTGCAACTGCAAGTACCAGTGATACTAGGAATTCATCACAACCTGAGAAGAAAAGCAATCATAGGTATAACCCTGCTTAGTTCAAGTTTGGGTTTTCATTTATTAAGGATTGAAAGGGTGAACATAGGCTGTATGTAGTGTTTCATCTGCAGTGAACTGTTGGCAAATGAAAGCCTAAAACTGCTAAAGTTATGTAGGCATTTGGAGACAAGCACCCCAGCTAAGGGAAGCTTCTTGATTTTTTTTTTTTTTTAAACGAAAAATGCAAAGATTTGGAAATGACACAAAAAAGACTTGAACATGTATGTACTGTCCAGGAGCAAGCGCTGCATCCTCTTACCTCATTGCACATGTCATTGCTAAGTGTAAGAAAGCTCACATTTTGGCAGAGGAGTTAATTTTACCTTCTGCTATCGACATGTGCACTGAATTATTGGGAAGAGTCAGCTGCAAAAAAATTAGAAGCAATCCCTCTCTCCAATGATACAGTATGGAGAGGAGAATGCAGTATCTGAGAAGACATCAAACTGCGAACAACTGATTGTCTTTCAGTAAGTGACTGTTTTGCTTTACAATTAGATGACTCTACAGATATATCAAACTGCTATTTTTCCAGTTTATGTTAGGCATGTATGGGAAGGTGATTTTCAAGAATGACACATGGCTTGAAATATATTCCATCAGCTGAATGATTTGAAAGGGAAGAGGGCACAAGCAGTTTGAGCAAAATGACAAAATTGCTACAGTAAAAAGACCCTTTTTTTCTGTGGACCAAACATGTTTCAAATGACAGGATGGACATGTTTCATAATGTCTCTAGAAACAAAAAATTAGAAAGATTCTGTTTTCTTTGCTGCTTCTCGGTTAGCAATCAGCAATCATTTACTTTTCAGCTGAGCAACTCAAGGGCAAAGAATGGATATGGGATCCATTTGGAGTTGTACTGGAAAATGTGAGTGCGTATAGAGGAAGAATCTCAGCTGGTTGAGTCATTTTGTGATTGCAGTCTACAGAAAAAACATAGTGAAATAAGCCTTCTCCAGTTTTGGTGAAGTACTGCTGGAAAATACCCTGCTCTTGCTTGCCATGCTATTAGAGTCATTTTGCCTTTCAGTATAACATACTTGTGCAAAACCAGATGGTTTGCCTTAACTCAACTGAAGAATAAAACCAGGAACAGACTGGATGCTGAGCACAACCTTCGGATTGCACCGGCCATAATTACACCAAACTTTGATAAACTCATCAAAGAGAAGCAAGCTCAGGTTTCTCATTAAATGGAACTTATGCTTTGTTGTATAATAAATCCTAAGTACCATATTTGAATATTTTTTACATATTACAGTAGTATTTACCCCTTTAGTGGCCATTTTACAGTATTTTTTTCAAATTACACAATGATGAATGTCACTTGAGAATGGAGGGCCACATGTTGATATTACTGTTAATGTTTTCCTGTTGATTTCTGTTTCTAAAATTAGGGCTGTTGAGCTGCTTTAACTGGTAGTGTGTAATAAGTACTTTGGGGCCAAAATACTTGTGTGTTTTCTACTTAAACTATTTACTGGGTCAAGACTAGCCAGTGTTTACAAAAGCATCCTGCTACAAAAAAGGCTGAGAACTACTGCATTAGATGACCTCTGGGATCCCTATCAACTGAATGACCTATATGCTAACTTCTCATGGTTTGTAAAAAAAAATCCCTTGTTTTTCTCTCCTCTTGGTCATGGTTAGATTCAGATACATGATGATTTTTCAAGAAGTTGATAAAATTGAGAAAGTGATTGCTGCATTATACAGCTATGAAAAAACTATTTTTCCTTGTATATCAATAGGTTTGAGTATTTTTCAGCGGGTGAGTCTAGGTTTTTCTTTTTCAGCATGAGATTTTTTTTCTGCATAATCTAATCTTATTCAAAGTATTCAAAAAGCATATACAAATATATTAGAAACCCACAAATTGGGAGTTTTATACACAGAATAAAAAGCCAGTATGCACCCGGTACCATAGCAAAGTTTGGCGCCCAGGGCAAAGCCCGTACATGCCCTGCGCATAGATCGGGGGGGGGGGGAATGCCCCCCCCATGCTTGCCCAAGATTGCCTGCAGTGGGAGAACCACCCTCCCCTCATTCCTGTGCCCCCCTAAATGAGCTGCTCACAACTCCGTCCCACACCCTGCCCTGGTTGAGCAGCACCTATTGGTGCCCCTTCACTTCGGTGCCCAGGGTGGTCACCCCACTTGCCCCCCTCCCTTGTTACGGCACTGTTTGCACCTATTGCATGCACAGACCATGTATTGGTCTCCATAAGTAGGGTAATACAGCTGCCAACACCATGAAGTCAAACAGTTGCTTGCACATGCAAATACAAATTTTGCTTTTGCAAAGTTTTCAGGGGCAATATCAGAGTCCTGCACCCACCCACATCATTGAATATTCAGTTTTTCTTTCCCTTGTGATTACTCTGCCACTAATTTGTGAAGTCCTTTCATTCACAGGCCCATCACAGAAAGAATTATTATTAGCAAGTGAAATTCAGAGGTCCTTAGTTTGCTGACTGGAAAAAAAGAGAAAGATCTACCTCAAACTAAAAGACGCTTAAACGGGATTTACCTCAGACTCAAAACTCGCAGAGTGCTTTTCACCCTTCAGAATTACAAAGCACAACACTTGATCCAGGACCCACTGGAACAAGTCCTGTAAAGGACTTTAGGACGAGAGCACCGTGTCCACCTGGAAATGCAAGAACAATTGAGGGAGCCTGACCACAACTATGCCCCTGGGGGTTAATCAGATCCTAGAAGTCATGCTCCTCTCCCCTAGTGGGATGTGGCAGGGATCGGATTTCTCTCCCACCGACGCAAGAGTCAGTACTGCCTGGGGAGGGGCAAGATGCCACCTGGCTTCCCCTCCTTGTGCTGCTGATAAGCGAGGAGATCGCGGTCCCGACTTGCCCCACGGTGCCCGATCTGCGCCGGGTGCCTAGGAGAGTGGCTTGCCTTGCGTGCTGCATCTGAACCGAAGCGGGGCCCCGCCGCTCGGGGACTGCAGCAGAAGCAGAGCCGCCTCCGCCGATTCCCCTCCCCGGCTGATAAGAGAGATGAAAAGCAGGCGGTTATGAACGTCAGCCCGCAGGCGGGCCCACGTGGCCTGCTCTCCCGGCAAGCCAGCTGCAAATGCCTCGCATGCTCAGGAGCTCAGCTCAGCGCCGCTGCAGAGATCGGCCGCCTGATGCTCGCGTGCGGCAACCGCCCGGCGAGACTGCCTGGACCGCCCGCGGAGACCGGGCCCGCGCTGCAGGCAGGGGCGTGGAGGGGCGCCGCACCCCTGGGCTCTAAGTCCCATTGCACCACTGAGCTCTAACAGCTGGGCTGTAAGTCTCGTTGCACCGGGCTGCAAGTTTCAATGCACCACTGGGTTATAGTCCCATCACACCACTGACTGGGCTATAAGATCCATGGTACAGCTGAACTATAGTCCCATCGCATAGCTGGGCAATACATTTACATGGTTATAGTCCCATCAAACCACTGGACTATAAACTCCATTGCACAGCTTGGCAATAAATTTCAATGCACTACTGGGTTATAGTCCCATCAAACCACGGGACTATAAAACCCATTGCACAGCTGGGCTATAAGATCCGTTGCTGGACCATCGTCCCATTGCACAGCTGGGCAATAAATTTCAATGCACTGTTGGTTTATAGTCCCAGCAAACCCCTGGACTGTGAGAGCCATTGCACAGCTGGGCTATAAAATCCATTGCACAGCTGGGCTGTAGTCCCCTGGCACAGCTGGGCAACAAATTTCAATGCACTACTGAGGTATAGTCTCATCAAACCACTGGACTGTAAGATCCATTGCACAGCTGGGTTACAGCCCCACTGCACAGCTGGGCAATAAATTTCAATGTACTAACCGCTGGACTATAAAATCGATTGCACAGCTGGGCTATAGTCCCATTGCACAGCTCAGCAATAAATTTCAATGTACTACTGGGTTATAGTCCCATCAAACCACGGGACTATAAAATCCATTGCACAGCTGGGCTATAAGATCCATTACACCACTTAGCAATAAGATCCATTGCTGGACTATAGTCCCAGTGTACAGCTGGCAATGTTTCAGTGCACGGCTGGGCTGGAGGCCCATCCGACCACTGTGCTTTAAGTCCCGATGCACAGCCGGGCCATGCATTGCACTGCACCCCCGGGCCGCAGTCCCATCGCACGCACCCCTGGCCGGCCTGCCTGCCGGTGCCAATGCACAGCTGGGCTACAGCTCCAGCGCACCACGAACCAACATCTGGAGCCCTTGCCATGGGCCGGCGCAGGCTGAGCCCCGGGGCGGGGCGGGGCGGGGCGGGGCCAGGGGCAGCGGCGCCGGAGTGC